ACTGCACACCAGAACATGTAGACACAAGGACAGTTTTCCCCCATGCCATCACTCTGCTAATCAACTAATTCCCACAACACTGTCAAATTATCTACCAAGACTGTACTACTATTATTCTTCTCATCCTTCCTATCTCTTCCCACTTATGACTATAACCATGTTGCTTGTGTCTTGTCAATTTATATTGTTTTATTTGTTTACTAGTACGGTTTGATAGCTTATTAGTAGCTTCGACTATCACTAAGTGTTGTATCTTTTTATTCTTGATGAATGATTTTATTCTCCTTATGCACACTGAGAGCATCTGCACCAAAGACAAATTCCAATCACACTTGGCCAATAAAGAATTCTGTTCTATTCCATTCCATTCTTTTCTATTCTGTATTCAATTCCATTCCATTCCACTCTACTCTGTATTCTGTTCTGTCCTATCCTATCCTGCAAGCAGCATGATATAAATCAGGATATAATCCTTTCCCTTCTCTGGATATAAATCAGGATATAATCTTTCCCTTCTCAAACAGGGCTAGAAATCGCCCTTCTGGCATGCTTTGGATGTGGGCTTTGCAGGAAGTTTCCCCAGTGGGGTATTTTACACAAAGCCTGAAGGCATCTGAGCTAGCTCTCGTGGATGAAGGCTGCCCCTCCCATATTTCCAAAACGTTTTCGGCATGCCGTTTCCCCCTGCCATGCTGCAGGCTCACCATGCCAGCAGAAACCCGAGAGGGGGGTTATAAATTACATTTCAACTGCTTTGCCACTTTCCTGCTGGTCAACTCCAGGCCAGTTTTGTGGCATGTGAACATGCTGAGAGAGAAAGATTTGGGCCACCATTTCTGACTCATTTAAAGTCACGTCCCACACGTGGGTAGGTCTTGGAAAAATGTCAATATTTAGGGAGAGGGAATGGGGAAATATTGTTTGAAGGCTGAGCTATTTGTTTATTAAAACAAGAGATGAGATTTTCCCCCGCCCCAGACTGTCTCTTTCCCAGTTCACAAATAAGAGATTTTTTTTTTCAAGAAATGGAGAAAATCTATGAAATAAATCTGGAAATCTTTCAGTATTGATCACTGTTAATTTTAATTCGAATTTTTTTTTTTAAATGTATTGTCAATTTTAATTGGGTTTGGGATATTCCATTTAATTTTTTTTTAACTTTTGTATCATGTGTTTCTTTTAATTGTTGTACGCCGCCCTGAGTCTTTGGGAGAAGGGCGGCATATAAAAATCTCAAATCTCAAATCTTTCCATTTGCAGCCTGGGTTTTGCAACTGAGCTGTGTCTCTCGAGTATGTAATTTTTAAAAAAAAAAGTTGCAGTGATTGGGGAATGTGGGAATTTGTAGCAGTTGAGGATAATTTGGGTGATGTATGTCTGATTCTTTTTTTTCCCATCCATCCAGATAATTTATTGGTCTTCACGGTGGCTACCAAGGAGACCGAAGGCTTCAAACGCTTCAGAAGTTCAGCCCAGGTTTTTAACTATAACCTCAAGGTAGCGCAAGTGACTAATTTGAATAAAGTTCCCAGGTTGTTTCATGACAAAACACAATTCCTAATTCAAAACTCCCTGCTTTTCCTCAAATTTTAAAACCCACCCTTGGAAAACGCATGGGGCAAAATTATACTGCATCATTCCTTCATTTCAATTGATGAGTTTGC